AAGCGCTTTTCGCTTACCTGAAATGCGCGATGCTTATCCCCGCAAATGCTCTTCTCCTCCTCATGCGAGTTTGCGACCACAAGAGCCCAGCAGGTAAAAGTGTTTTGGGTTGACGGATGGATTCCATTATGTTTTCTTCAATCCCCTCTTTCTCCAAGACGCCTAAATACACGGTGAATAGTTTTAGAATTTCGAGGGATGATTTCCACTTTTGTCAAATTGCGCTCTTCCAGCTATTCTGAAAACATCAAGAGATTGTCACAAATGGTGAAGAAGAAGCCTGTGAGCGCAGATCATCTTCTGGTGGCGTGGTCCGAATTTTTAGCCGAATTCAAAACCCTGGAAAATCTTGTTCCAGCCGGTACAAAACTAAATTTCGTTCAGTATCATTCATTAGACGTTATCGCCTTCCTGTTGTCGATCTTGGCCGTTATTCTCTTCGTTTATGGAAATTGTTGAAATTAATTTTGTTGAAAATATATGCTTCATTAACCCGTGTTAAGAAGACGAAACTAAGCTAGACCTTTTTACCATTGTGTTCAGAACATCTCATTTTTCTGATAAGTCTTTAATGTATCTTATCGGTGGTCACTTGGGCGCTCATAGTGGGCCACCATTTGACCGCTCAGGCAAATTGTGATGAATTCAATGGTCTCTATAAACTTTTTTGAGCATAAAATGGTGAATCCCATTCGTATATTTATTTCTAGGAGATGTAGCTGTGTTACTTATTGTTTTCATATCCACCGAAGGAAGGTCAACCTCCTATCGGGAGATCTTTCAAGGAGAGCATGTGTTTGATTTAATCATCATTATCTACCAGGAAGAACTGGAAAAAGAATTTTCTTGAAAAAACCAAAAAATTTCACAATGTTTAGGGATTTCACAAAAAGTTTGGGAGCTATCGCAATATACGGGGGCATACTCTAGGGCTAAGCCTACGAGGGGCAGGAGCTCCGGAAAAAATGAAAATGGCTCACGCACCTTGGAGTCTCTCCTCCCCCGCCTAAGGCTAGTCCCATTTTTACAAAAAGACATGTTTACGCGGTTTTAATGCATTGCCATCACAATGCCCCGTATATTGCTGTAGCCTCGAAACTTGTTGTTTTAGCCATTCCCGTAGTTGTGAATTGTGCACACTGCTGCGTTACCCTTAGCTGAGCTCACCAACTTTTTAGATCTGCTACGCTGTTCTCTGAACGGATCTCTCGTTGCTTGTAAACCCTTTACGCAAGGGATTTATAGGCCCAAGAATCGATGCGGTATCATGCCCGCAAGCTAATAAACAAAAACTGCGCTTTTCCGCCAGCTGCGCTAAAGGAATCACAAGGTATGGGAAGCACTTCTCAGCTCAGCATCGCAAAACAAATGCATCGTGTAAACTTCATTTTGATTGGCAAGGTTGATCTAGTGAACATGCTGCTTGTTATAGCGCACTAATTCATCTCCCACTTAGAATCAGAAAGACCCCATGCGCATTGGTCCTTTGGGGCCTTATGCGAGGCTTAGGTTAAAGGCAAGATTCGGGATAAAATAGGTGTGGAAAAGCGTTCAGTTATGAAGCTAGAGGTGGGAGGTGGTCTGAAAAGAGAAGGAAAGCAAACGAAACCACCGATTACGCCCCGTACAGAGACCTCCCCTATTTCAGCCGCATTCCACCTTGGGATAGAGAAGGGGCGCGTTGGACGAGTTTCACGAACCTAACTCTATTGCTCCAGTGCCAATGACATTGGGTCGCCAATGAGCGCTCATAGGCCCACTCATTGCAGGTGCCAACGTGACAACCAAATAGCGCAGGTGGGGTATGCGGCGCGCGAAGATACTGTGGCAGGTCGCCGACAGCTTCTGTCCCTTTGCCGCCACTTTTCAAGCGGTCAAAGTGGGCGCGACTCAACGCTTGCCCGCCGCCCGAGAAGGAAACAGCGCGAGCGCCGCCTAATACCCGGAGTGTGGCGCATTAACAGTAAACGCACATAATACTTTAGATCATAATTATCTAACCTTGGCAGATTAGCAACTAGTAACGTTCATCTAGAGTAGAGAAAAGCTTACACACGCACTGTGTGGACAGAAAGCGCTGACGCGGTAGAGCGTCCCCACTTTCGGACGCACTCGTGGACCATATGTGACACGCGGTCAACGCCGCCCCAAAGTCATGCCCTTTTTCTTGGGTCTTGGATGCGACGTAATCTCTAAGCATCTTGCGCACTCCCAATTCTATAATCACACTCTTATCATCAGCTAACATCCCAACATAGCTACACCAGAAAGTCCACAATTCTTAGTTGGCAGACATATTCCCAGGAACCTTACCGATAATCGGTATAATTATTCTTCGTTCTTACTCACAAAACAAGTAAGCAATCCCTACTATATATAATGCGCTATGTCTGTCTGTCCGTCTGTCACGAAATTCGGTATCAAGCGAACAACAACCTACAGGGTCCAGGTCAAGTTTGGGATGGGTATACCATATCCCTAGAAGTAAAAAACACACATCAGCCAAGCGGAGCCCCGCCCACAGTGGGCGTGGCGTGCATCGGTTGATTTCAAATTCAGTCACAAAACAGCCTCGAGACCGGGACAAAAGTGGGCATAGGTGTGGGTTGGTAAGCCAGATCGAACTGAGGAGACCCACCCTCGGTGGGCGGGGCGTTCTCTAGAAAATGGGTGCTCAGTGAAAATATTCATAACTCGGTTAAGAGGAAGCCTACAGACCAGAACGAAATTAGTGCAGGGGAGCAATGCCTAAGGTATTTCCACCACGCATGATGTGAACGGAGGCCCGCCCACAATGGGCGGAGCGTGTCGTGAAGCGGACAGCATTTTCTACAAGAGCTCATAAATCGGCTCCGAGATGACTTAGAGACCGGAAAACAACGGATAGAGGTCAGGAGGGGAGGGGAAGCTAAATGTCAGGGATGGGCGTGGCTTACATCAAAGTGGGCGGAGTTTGCAATTAGGCTTATAACTCGGTTCCTAGGAGTCCCGGAGTCCGGGAAAAAAGCGTATGAGGGTTGGCAGAGGGAAAGGGGTCAACCGTTGTTGGCGGGCGGAGCATGCACCAAAGTGGGCGGGGTTTGCCACGGTACTTCATAACTCGGTTCCAATAAGTTCCAGAGATGGGAGAAAAGTAGAAAAAGGTTGGGGAAGAGATGATAGCCGACTGATATCAGTGGGCGACCCATGCACCAAAGTGGGCGGGGTCTGCCTCAGAAATTCGTGACTCATAACGCCATTTACAAGACCTCATAATTCGGCTCCGAGATGACTTAGAGACCTGAAAAAAATATGCCTGAGGTGAAAGTAGGAGTAGAGGTTGAATGTGAACGCTGGGCGTGGCACACCCGGATGTGGGCGGAGTTTGCCACCGCTCTCATAACTCGGTTCCTAGAAGTTCCGGCGACCGGGGAAAATGTGCATAAGTATTGAGGTATGGAGTAGGGTTGAATGCCATTGTTGGGCTAACCATGCACCAAAGTGGGCGGGGTCTGCCTCAGAAATTCGTGACTCATAACGCCATTTACAAGACCTCATAATTCGGCTCCGAGATGACTTAGAGACCTGAAAAAAATATGCCAGAGGTGAAAGTAGGAGTAGAGGTTGAATGTGAACGCTGGGCGTGGCACACCCGGATGTGGGCGGAGTTTGCCACCGCTCTCATAACTCGGTTCCTAGAAGTTCCGGCGACCGGGGAAAATGTGCATAAGTATTGAGGTATGGAGTAGGGTTGAATGCCATTGTTGGGCTAACCATGCACCAAAGTGGGCGGGGTCTGCCTCAGAAATTCGTGACTCATAACGCCATTTACAAGACCTCATAATTCGGCTCCGAGATGACTTAGAGACCTGAAAAAAAATACGCCAGAGGTGAAAGTAGGAGTAGAGGTTGAATGTGAACGCTGGGCGTGGCACACCCGGATGTGGGCGGAGTTTGCGGCGTAAGTAAGATGTACCGAGCAGAAAGCTAAAATCAAGACAAAAATACTGATGGGCCCGATTTTACCGCTGCAGCCCCGTCTCATGCACGCGAATGCGTGCGCAGCCAAACTGGTAATAAAAAGGATAAATAACAAGCAAGTGATACAACCTATTTGTACTAAGGAAGATATGTTGTTTCTACTGATAGCAGATCAATCGTCGAATTAATTTCGAAACCACTAAAAGAATACTTGAGTAAAAGTGTTGACCTATCTGCATTGGCTTTAACAGTCGTACCTCCGCGTCGAACCACTTCCATTCCGTGTAACTCCGAACAAGGTAAATTGATCGAACACGCATGAAACATTTCATAGCAATTTAAAGTATTGCGGATATAACACCCTTAAAAATCTACTAGGATTTTTGGTGTGGCGGCGGGTGCGCTCCGCAATATTGCTCCTTGTCGCCACGAGGTGCAAAATCCGCAACCAGAAAAACGCGCGCATGTCGTCAACGTTAATCCAGAGTCTTCAATATATAACGGCCACGCGAGACACCGACTAGACACCGCCAGTAGTGGGCCTGCCCGAATATCCGCGGACTTGAGAGTGATAGTATCACGACGCGCGTTCCGTGCAGTCAATCGGATTCTAAACACTCGCTCTATGGGTGGTGGGGGGGAACTTCCGGCAGGCGGATCGCTGAGCGCGCCGCACGTCGCAGCAACTTTGCCATTCGGACGCATGGACCGTAATTGCCACGTCGCTCCTCCCATGCCTTGGCCAAACAACTCGTCCACATCAGCTAACCGCTAGATTTACATAATTGGCCGATCTACAGTGGAGCGCGACCAATCTCGATTCTTCCTTCGACTTCTTTTCGTTCTGCACGTTCAATTCGAACCAACTGCAGAGTTACTTCGAAGTGATGTGCCTGGAGCTTGTGTTTCCATCATGATGAATGCTTTCCACGTATTCATCACATAGCGCGAAAGCAAGAGACTTCTCTGCTCATGTCACACATTCAAAAAGAGCAAGTGTATCCGGAAAAAGACCACTAGCCATAAAACTACAATGGAACTCGTATAAACTGTTTTCTTAACATAAAAGACCGAAGGAAATCGTTTCATCCAGTAAAGGGCGCAAGCGATAAGCAAGCTTTCTCTAATGGCATAAAAAAGCACAGTATTTGATTGTAGACGCTCAGGACTTAGCCTAGAAGAAAGAGCCCCCGGTCCGTGAAGCATGCTAGGTTCTCCGGGAAGATAATTTTCCACATCCCAGCTATAAGTCCAGAACCTAGTCTGACTAGGTGCCATATGACATTCCGATAAGTTAATCGTCACTAACGTACAACGTATAGCATACATTATACGAAGTTATACGAGACGAAATAACATAGGAAAAAAGCTGATAGCAGCTCGTAACTTTAAAGGACTCCTTGAGCCAATTTGGCATTAGAGCAGACCGTGCACCGCAATGCCCCCTCTTACCGGATGAGACCCAAGACAAAATCGTTTTATAAACACTGCAAGTTCTT